GCCTTTACTTTCATTGCCATTTCACTCTCCTATCTCCGAGTCTTCACATGACTCCTTTCCTTCCCCAGACACGAGATCCTTCAGGAGAGCTCAAGCTCCAGCTCCTCTACCGCCCCGTCCTTCCCACTGGCGCCCTTATCTAACTCGAGCCAAGGACAAGACCCTCAGGAGCACTGGAGACGCGTCAAAGGCATCTTCTCGAACATGGAGTCTATCCTGGAGAAGCTGTACGAGGGAGAGATCAGGTCGGGTCACGTTCCTCTCCACGTCCTACCGAAGATGATGCTCGTGGGTGATGCTGTTTACGGCGCGAAGGCGATTTACAACAGACTGGATTCCGATTTCGTGGACTGGGTGAGAGAAAAGTTGATTTCCGAAGTTTTAGGGAGGTTTAAGGAGCCCCTGGGAGAGATCTTAAGCCTCCAGGACGTCCGGGAGATCGTCGACGATCTCGTGGGCAGATTCGTCGTCGAGACCGGCCGCTTCCTCCACCACCAGGCCATGACCTTCGCCCACGAGCTCGAGTTCGTGACTGAGCTCATGTTGTCGTCGGGGTTCGAGACGGAAGAGATTTCCGTCGTCTTCAAGCTCCTTGGCCTTCCTCCCTCTCCCCGAGAGATAGAGAGGTCCTCTGGAGAACCTCCCGAGGAACCTGCTCCTGTAGAAGCTGCTGTCGACGGTTCCCGACGGCGTTCGAGAGACAGGAGGTTCAGCACCAACAGAAGGAATTCCGGGTATGATTACCCAGCGGACGGGTACGGTTACCAAGGCGGGTACTCGGGTGGTTACGGAGGCAGTGGCGGCTACGGAGGAGGCTACAGTGCTGATGGATACGGCGGAGGCTACGACGCGGGAGGCTACGGAGGCGGCTATATGCAAGACATGTCTAAGATCGACCCTCTCGTCATCCTGGGCGGACTGGCGTTCCTCACCCTCTGCTCCTACGTGACTTTCCTCGTCCTCTCCAGCAAGATGAGGAAGCGCAGCGTATCGGACTTGAGCCTCGATCTCTCTGACCTTCCGAACGTCAGCTTGATCCTGGAGGCGATGGACGAGGAGTCCTTCGGGGCCTCGGAACAGGTGAGTTTCTTGGGGCATTTCGCATCGGTGGAGGTCAAAGGGATATATGGGAGTCTAGGGGAAAAATGTTATGAGTATTATTAGCAAGAGTGTACAAGTTTTCTCTCAAGCTAATGGTTATGGTTATTGGGATATATAGGTTTGTTCTGTATGAAAAAAATGTTGGGTATTATTACCGAGAAGATGCATGGCTTTTCAAATAGTTTTGATAAACTAACAAGAAGAGGTAACAATAGTGACAGCATTAATCTGTAAGGTACTAAAGATAAAAGCAGTAATGATGATAATACCTACAATAACTTTAATAATAATAATGACAGCACCAGTGACAATGGTGATATTAGTAAAGATGATAATGAGTCAATAAATAAAAATAATATTTATGATGTTACTAAAGGTGATACTGAGTCAGTAAATGACAAATCAGCCCTTTCATTCCTTCTTACCTCCCTTTCACTCTCCCTTCCTTCAAATCTTTCATTCCCCTTTTTCCACCAATCCTTACACTTTCTCCCAACCTCCCATATCTTCCTTTCATCCACCTATTCCTCCCTTCCGTCGATAACAAAGATAAAACATAAAATCCTTCTATCCACAGGGTACCGGCGACCTCCTGACTGTCATCCCGCACCAGATTAATCTCGTGTGGAGGAACTACAAGCAAGACCCAAGCACGAGATCTTGCATGCAACGGTTCTTGTGTGAGAGTTTTTTCAGTCCGCCTCAACAACACCTCCTGAGTCAAAATGATTTTTTGTTGCAGATTACAAGGTAAGGGTTGAAGTTGCTAGTTTATTGATAGCAGTATTGATGGTAGTATTGATTATCATAATAATAATGATGAGGGTGATAATGATAGTGAAAATAGCTGTGATAGTTGAACTGATATTAACGGTAAGGATAATTATGATAATAATAATAACGAGAATGATAATGATAAAGGTAAGACTAATGGTAATGATAATGGTAATGATAATGGTAATGATAATGATAATAATGATGATAATGATAGTAATATATCATCGTAATAATAAGAGTAATAATACCATCAATGCAGATAATGATACTGATAACGATAACAATAAGAGAAACGAATGAAAATTTCCCTCAAAAAAAATCCCTCTATTAAAAAAATAATAATAATAATGAATAGAAATAAATAATACTAGTAATAACAATAATAACATTACACACCGACCTCCCCCCCCCCCCCCCCCCCCACACACACACACACAGGTCGGCCGTAGCGCAGGTTTTGGGAGACTCAAAGGCCCCGAAGAAAGCTGACGAAGGAATCACTCAGCTCCTTGACGAAGAGCCAAGGGCGCGGGACTCCTGCAGGGTACCAAGACGTCTGTGTTCCATGTAAAAGAAGAAGGGCGTGAGCTAAGGGCATGGGGCGTTGATTACGTCATTTGTG